TTAGTTCCCAGTCCTCCTTCATATCAAAAAAGGCTTTAGGCAGTTTTGCCTGTTTAATAAGAGGAGAGAAGCCTTTCTTGTCCCTTTGTATATCCATAACACCATTCCAATCGCCCATTAATACCACGGATCTATAGTCCAGCAAAGTTATTTTTTGATGTAACAGTCTATAAAATTGTTCCTGTTGCTGATTTGGTGCATAAAGTCCCACTATAAGTATTTTCTTACCATACAGACCAAGTTCAATCATCACATATCTTCCTTGGGGATCTGATTCTACCAAAGAAGCTGCTAGGTTTTGCTTCACGTAGATAACCACTCCCCCCTTTTTCCCAGGAGCAGATGATACAAAATGAGATCCCAAACGGGCATTGACTAAGTATTTCTGATCTTTAAGTAAGATATGAGTTTCCTGTAGACAAATAACATCATTATTATGTTGCTTCAAATAGTAAAAAATTTTCTTTCTTTTCTGTGGGGAGTTCAATCCGTTAACATTCCAGGTCAGGAACTTTGCCATCTCTCTTGGCCTTGAGCCTGGAGAAGACTCCCTGAAGGTCTGCCATTCCTGCCTGGATTGCAGAACTCTTAGGTCTTGCTCCTCCCACCGGCAATGAATCACTTTCAGAAGAAGATTCTTTAACTTCTCTTTTATGTTGCTCCTTCTCCTTACGTCTATAAGCTGCACGGGTCATTCTCTGATCTTTAACCTCCATTTGACGTTGCCATTCAACTTGCGGCATCCCAGCAGAAACCAAGCCTGATGCTTCAGATTGCTCCAACTCTTTGCCACTCAGAGGTTTCTGAGCAGGTAGAACTGAGCCTGCACCCAGGACCGTGTTGTAAAACTCCTTGGCTTTTTCAACCGTATTCAACCTATAACGCATCCCCGCATGACTCAGAACAATACCTGTTGGGATCTCCCATCTAAATGGCATCAATCTAGCTTTGAGCTCATTAGTTAAAAAAGCAAAATCTTTCCTGCTTCTTAAAATTTTTGATGGGATTTCCTTTAAAATGATAATATCTTGAGCAGCAATCTGGAATCTCTTATTATAAAAACCTTGTATAATTTCATTACGCAGAGACTTCTTTGTAAAATAAATCACCACATCTCTAGGCAAGTTCTTCTGCTTGGCAACCCAAGAGTTAACTCTATAGATTTTTTCCACTTCTCTGCGTAATTCTCCTTTATCCATATTCAAAGCAATAGCCAAATCAGTAAGCACTACCTCCATCAAGTCTTGATTCATATCTTCCTTAAGGCCTCTAATCCTCAGAGCATACTCCATCTGCCTATACTGAAACATAAGGATGTCATCTTGTGAGGTCTCCATCTTCCTTTCCATATCTTGGAATTTCTCCTCGAAAAAATCAACTTTGTCTGCTACTTCCTCCACTCTCGAATCCAGCTTCACCACCACCGTGGCCAGGCCTGATACAGCTGCAATTATATCTTCCCGCAGAATAGTATTATTATCTTCCATTGAATCCTTGATCCCACTTATCTCTTCCTTAATTTCAGATTTAATCTGTATGGCAAGTTGCTTCATTTCATCTCTAATTTGAGATACAACATCTCCCATTATGCCTTTAATCTCTTGTACTGACGGGCCTGGCAGAGGAGGAGAAGGTGGTGGCTGGGTCGGTGGTACATGTTTAGGTTGTTGTTGTGGTTGTGCAGTTGAGGCTATAGGAGAGGAGACCACCTTAGATATTGTAGAAGGTGGCTGTCTCTTTGAAGCCATTTTATATGACACAGTTCTCTCTTCCCTTCTTCCCCCCCCCAAAAAAGGGGAGGAGGGAAATAGAATTTTAAAAAGAAAAGAAAAAAAAGACAAAAACACTATAATCCTTAAGAAACCAAAGAAAAAAGGAGAAAAAAATCCAAAACCAGAAGCAAAAAAATCAAATGCAATCATTTATGTCCAAAACTTTAAAAACAAAAGAACAAAAGAAAAAGGGAAAAAAAAAAACCTCCGGCACTTTTAAAACACCATCTTTTTTCCTCTCTCAAGAAAAAGAACAAAGGAGAGATAATCAAAACTAACTAATAAAAAGAAATAAAAGACTAAAGTATATATAAGGAAAAATCCTTTAAACCACTCTGTCCGCTTCAAAATTTACTCACCAGGACGCTACAGACGCGGAGATAGAGGCGGCGGTTTCTTTTGCTTCAAAGGGAAGCAAAAACAGCTGGGAGGCGGAGATCAACAGGAGCTCCGAGGGAACACTCCTTCCACCCCCTCTAGGAATAAATCCAGAGGGGGTTCAGGGGTTCTACCTCTACTCCTGGATTCTCTGACCCTTCCCTTTGCCCGGGAAGGGAATTTCGAACCGCGGGCCAGCTGATACGCGCTATGCTCCGCGATTCTGACACCTTCCCAGCTGGACGGCTACTAAGTAGCCGCCATCGCCGTCGCCCCGTACCGGAAGCTCAAAAAAAAGTAAGAAAAATAATCTTCCTTGACTTTTTTTTAATTGGCTGTCCATTACTTTCAGCAGGATAATAGTCTGATTTCAATTGAATGTTGATCTTTAAAGCTAATGAATGAATATGAAATTTCTGGCTTTTTTTTAACAAATTCACTAGGCATAAGAGCCGAGGTGGTGCAGCAGTTAGAGTGCAGTACTGCAGGCCACTTTAGCTGACTGTGTTCAGCAGGTCAGCGGTTCAAATCTCACCGGCTCAAGGTTGACTCAGCCTTCCATCCTTCCGGGGTAGGTAAAATGAGGACCCAGATTGTTGGGGGCAATGTAGATATATATATACGTTGCTTACTGGTGTACACCGCTTAGAGAGTGCTTGCACTTAAAGCGGTATATAAGTCTCATAAATAAATAAATAAATAAATAAATAAATAAATAAATAAATAGTAAAATGACTCTTAATATTGTCCTTATTTCAAATATAAACTTGAAGCTGAGGAATTCTGGGAGTTGAAATCCACAAGTCATAAAAGGGCCAAGTTTGAAGACCCCTGGGTTAGAGAAAAGATTTAGGGATTTGTATTAGCGGATATGATACTCAGACAACATATTTTGTTGAATGATTATTATTGAATTCTGTTTTAAAAAATCAATAAAACTTTATATAATTTTGAAAACTCGAGTTTTCTCACCCCCTGGAATATCGTCTCGCACCCCTGGTGGGGAACCCCTGGACTAGGACAACTGTCTGAAAAATTGTGAATTTTGTGAACCCTAATCCTATCCAACAAGCTGAAATTTAATGTGGAGAAAAGCAAGGTTTTACACCTGGGCAGGAAAAACAAAGGTATAAGTACAGATTAGGTGGAACCTGGCTCAAAAAATGTGAGAGGGACCTTGGAGTCCTAGTGGACGATCCCTAAAATATGAGCCAGCAATGTGCAGCAGCCCCCAAAAAAGTTAATACAATCTACTGTATGGTCCCTTCCAGCTTTATTCTGAATTAAAAACCTATTCTACAGGTCATGCACAAACTCTCCACTAGGTGGCAGAATAGGCACTCATCTTAAAAGATTTGGGTAACCATATGCAAAACTGTGGATTTTATTTTATTTTTTCGCCAGGGAATAGCATTATCCCACTATCAAAGCGACAGTTCCCCGCTTTCTTAGATGTAAATATTAGGAATGAAGTTTATGGAAGCCACACAATCGCAGGAAAGTTCTCTTAGGATGCTACAGGTTCTAAATCAACACAAGAGAGGGGTCCAAAATCCAGCGTTGCACCAGAACATTTGCTGGTCTGGTTCACCTCTCCGGAGCGCACCAAGGTTGTAGGAAAGATTCTTCGCAAGCAAACAGGACGGACAGAAAAGGCCGCTGCTCTGCGCACTCAGGAAAAATGAAAACAACGCACAAGTAGCCGTTTTGATGCATACTAGTGGTAAAGGTGCTGGCTAAGAAACGGGGACAGTGAGTTCTAGTCCTGCCTTAGGCACAAAAGCCAGCTGGGTCATCCAATCACCAGGAGGCGATAAGTTCTAGTCCCGCCTTAGGCATGAAAGCCAGTTGGGTGACTTTGGGCCAATCACCAGAAGACGGTGAGTTCTAGTTCTGACTTAGGCATGAAAGCCAGCTGGGTGACTTTGGGCCAATCACCAGGAGATGGTGAGTTCTAGTTCTGACTTAAGCATGAAAGCTGACTGGGTGACTTTGCACCAATCACTGGGAGACTGTGGGTTTTAGTCCGCGTTAGGCATGAACGCTGACTGGGTACCTTTGCAGCAATCACTGGGAGACTGTGAGTTCTAGTCCGACCTTAGCCGTGAAAGCCAACTGGATGACTTTGGGCCAATCACCAGGAGACGGTGAGTTCTAAGCCTGCCTTAGGCATGGAAGCTGACTGGGTGACCTTTGGCCAATCACTAGGAGACTTGGAAGTTCTAGTCCTGCCTTAGCCATGAAAGCCAACTGGATGACTTTGGGCCAATCACTAGGAGACGCTGAGTTCTAGTCCTGCCTTAGGCGCTAAAGCTGAACAGGTGACTTTGGGCCCATCCCTAGGAGACAATCCCATGGTAGCCACGAAAGCTAATTCTCTCCCAACCCACCTCACAGGGTTGTTGTGGGGAAAATAGGAGGGGGGACTTCTAGCCCTGAAAGGAAAAGGGAGTGGGCGAGGGGGGCGTTTTCAAATCCTGGGGGTCTGATTTCATCCTGCAGCATTCGGATGCTTTGGATGGGCCTGTCCGCAGCTTGCTAGATTTATCCCCAACGTTGCACTCGGCCGGGGGGGGGGGGCAGGAGCGACCCTCCCTGATCCAAAGTCAGGCAGACCCCCCCATAGATTGGACCTGGAGGGCTCACAGCGCCCCCCCCATAGATTGCTATCAGTCAATTTCCTGAAAAAATGCTGCAACTCCCCAGCGCCCCCTCCCCCCGCCTCTCCTTCTGGACCCCATCCCGATTCCCCCCTCCCATTTGACCACATTTCCCCCCCCTCGGGGGGCTGCTCCCCCCCATCCCCGCCCGGATTCCCCGTCTGCTTTCCACCCGCCTCCGCCTCCTCCTCTTCCTCCTCCTCCTCTCCGGGCTGGGGCGGCGGGGGCAGCAGAAGGCGCGATGCTGCCGGCGGCCCTGGCGCTGCTGCTGTTGCTGCTGCTGCTGCCGGCGCTGCCGGCACGGAGCGGGGCGCCGGGCGAGACTTTCAGCTCCATGCTCAGCATCCGCCGGGCGCTGGGCACGGAAGGGGCGCTGCTCCGCCACCTGCGCGCCTACCTGGAGGACGAGGCCGGCCGGCTGCGGGACCTCGACAGGTAAGGCGGGAGGGGAGGGCGGGAGGGGGCGGGAGGGAGCCCCCTCCTTCCCTTCCTCCTCTTTCTTTCTTTCTTTCTTTCTTTCTTTCTTTCTTTCTTTCTTTCTTTCTTTCTTTCTTTCTTTCTTTCTCATTGCAAAGTGATGAGTTTATAATCTCTTTCTCTCTCTCTCCCTCCCTCCCTCCTTCCTATTTCCCTTCCTTCCTTCCTTTCTTCCTTTCTCTCTCCCTAACGTCCTAAGTCCACAACTATCCCCGAATTGCACGAACTCTATTGTGTCTAGAGTTCAAAATGAAGACTCTCCATATCCAGGATGCCTCAGATCCAAAGTTTGTCTGTCTGTCTGTCTTTCTTTCTTTCTTTCTTTCTTTCTTTCTTTCTTTCTTTCTTTCTTTCTTTCTTTCTTTCTTTCTCTTTCTCTCTTCCTTCCTTCCTTCCTTCCTTCCTTCCTTCCTTTCTCTCTCCCGCCCTCCTTCCTTCCTTCCTTTCTTTCTTTCTTTCTTTCTTTCTTTCTTTCTTTCTTTCTTTCTTTCTTTCTTTCTTTCTTTTTCTTTCTATTTCCCTTCCTCCCTTCCTAAGTGCATAACTATTCCCAAATTGCACAAACTCTATTGTGTCTAGAGTTCAAAATGAAGACTCTCCATATCCAGGATGCCTCAGATCCAAAGTCTGTCTGTCTGTCTGTCTGTCTTTCTTTCTTTCTTTTTTTCTTCTTTCTTTCTTTCTCTTTCCTTCCTTCCTTCCTTCCTTCCTTCCTTCCTTCCTTCCTTCCTTCTTTCTTTCTCTCTCTCTCTCTCTCTCTCTCTCTCTCTCTCTCTCTCTCTCGGTCTCTTTCTTTCTCTCTCTCTCTTTTTTTCTCCATTCCCCTTCCGCCCTCTGTGCCTCCCTTCCATATATCTTCCCCCCAGCTCTTCCTCTTGTTTCCCCCCCTTCCTCGCTTCCTCTTTCCTTCCATTTCTTTCCTTCTCTCGTCTTCCATTTTATTCCCCCGTCCCTTCCTTTCTTTCGTCCTTCTTTCCTTCCTTGTTTCACCCCAGGCACAAATAGAATAGAATAGAATTCTTTACTGGCCAAGTGAGGTTGGACACACAAGGAATTTGTTTCCACTGCAGAAGCTCTCAGTGTCCATACAAGTAATATTGATAATCATGATCACATACAACTTGAACATACATTCATCACAAATCGTGAAATACACACTTAGTGATGGTCATAGAGTACTAGCTAAGCAAACAACCTAAATCATATTAGGGTACAAAAAAAAAAAGAAACCAATATAAATTATAAGATACAAGCAGCAAATTTATAGTCATAAGAAGGTAAGGATAGGTAATAGGAAAGATGAGGAGTATCATAGTAATACAGCTTTACTAGTATTTTGACAGTGTATATCATAGTAATAAAGCTTTACTAGTCTTTTGATAGTGTTGTAGGAATTAGTTGTTAAGCAGAGTGATGGCGTGGGGCAAAAAACTGTCCTTAGGTCTAGTCCAGGGGTAGGCAACCTTGGCTCTTTTATGACTTGTGGACTTCAATACCCAGAATTCCTGAACCAGCCCTGCTGACTCAGGAATTCTGGGAATTGAAGTCCACAAGTCATAAAAGAGCCAAGGTTGCCTACCCCTGGTCTAGTCGTTCTGGTGTGCAAGGCCCTATAGCAGGGGTCTTCAAACTTGGCCCTTTGTGGACTTCAACTCCCAGAATTCCTCAGCCAGGCATTCTGGCTGAGGAATTCTGGGAGTTGAAGTCCATGAGTCATAAAAGGCCCAAGTTTCAAGACCTCTGGCTTAGAGTATTGTTTCTGGATGGCTGGGGAATTCTGGGAGTTGAAGTCCATCCACGCTGACAGGAATTTTAGGTGAAGTCCATCCATGCTGACACGAATTTTAGGTGAAGTTCCTCCATGCTGACTGGGGAATTCTGGGAGGTGAAGTCCACCCACGCTCACAGGAATTTTAGGTGAAGTCCATCCATGCTTACTGAGGAATTCTGGGAGTTGAAGTCCGTCCACGCTGACAGGAATTTTAGGCTTACTGAGGAATTCTGGGAGTTGAAGTCCACAAGCCATCAAAGGGCCAAGTTTGAAGACCCCCTGCCCTATAGCGTCGTCTTGAAGGAACAAGTTGAAACGGTTTATATCCAGGATGTGAGGGTTCTGTAAATACTTTTACAATCCTCTTTTTGGCTTGTGCAAAATATAACTCCTCAATGGAAGGCAGGCTGGTTGCAATAGTTTTTTTGTTTTCTGCAGTCCTAACTATCTGTTGAAGTCTGTGGTCTGTCTTGTTTGGTTGCGGTGCCAAATTAGACAGTTATTGAGGTGCAAACGACAGACTCAGCTATTCCTCCGTAGAACCGTTTCAACAGCTCTTTGGGCAGCCTCAGTTTCCTGAGTTGGCACAGGAAGAACATTCTTTTGATGACATTTTTGGTGTTAGGTGTCCATTTTAAATCTTTGAGATATTACAGAACCCAGAAAGGTTTCTACTGTTGATCCTGTGTTGTCTAGAGTTATAAGAGGTTGAAAACTAATCAGGGAGAGAAGCGACCTAGAACTAAGGAGAAACTTCCTGACAGTGAGAAGAATTAACCAGTGGAACAACCTGTCTCCAGAAGCAGTGAATGCTCCAACACTGGAAGTTTTTAAGAAGAGACTGGACAGCCATTTGTCCGAAATGGAATAGGGTCTAGCAGGGGGCTGGACTAGAAGACCTCCACGGTCCCCTTCCAGTTCTATCTATCCTGACGGATGGGTTAACAAATGATAAAATAACGACATTTCTGCTTTCCAGATTCTACCAGAAGATCCAGGATTTGCATCAGGGATCGGGCAGCTCCCTGGAGAACCCCTTGATGGCGTTTGCCCTGATCAAGAGGCTGCAGTCAGACTGGAGAAACGTAGTTTATAGCATGGAAGGAAATGAGAATATCCAAGGTGCTTTTTCCTTACCACTCTTTAATTGCTGGAGAGAGAAAGTTTGTTCAAATAGGGGGTGGTCTCCAGGGGTAGGACCCAATAAAAGCAGTCCTCTATTTGCAAAAGTTCGTTTAGCGGCCGTTTGTAAATGGAGGACTGTTTTTATTTGGCCCTAGTTCTGTGGACCGCCCCCAGTGTGATGGCCAGGGGCGAAGACGCTGGCCTCCAATTCGGAAGGTTGAGAGTTTATTCCTAGGTAGGGGCAGATATTTCCTCGGGCACAAGGAAAAAATATCTGCTGTGAACCCCGCACAGGAATTCTGGGAGTTGAAGTCCACACCTCTTTAAGTTGCTGAGGTGGAGAAACGAGGCTGTACAGACTTCAACTCCCAGAATGCTCAGCAGTTGTCTTGAGCGGTTAGAGCAGTGGTAGACAACCTTGGCTCTGTTATGACTCATGGACTTCAATTCCCAGAATTCCTCAGCCAGCATGGGGGAACTATGGCCCCACATGACTCGTGGACTTCAACTGCCAAAATTCCTGAGCCAGCGTGGGGGAACTATGGCCCCCTTCATGACTTGGTGACTTCAACTCCCAGAATTCCTCAGCCAGCATGGGGGAACTATGGTCCCTTCATGACTCATGGACTTCAACTCCCAGAATTCCTCAGCCAGCATGGGGGAAATTATGGCCCCTTCATGACTCGGGGACTTCAACTCCCAGAATTCCTGAGCCAGCATGGGGGAACTATGGCCTCTTTATGACTCATGAACTTCAACTCCCAGAATTCCTGAGCCACCAAGGGGGAACTATGGTCCCTTCATGACTCATGGACTTCAACTCCCAGAATTCCTGAGCCAGCGTGGGGGAACTATGGCCCCTTCATGACTCGTGGACTTCAACTCCCAGAATTCCTGAGCCAGCATGGCTCAGCATGGAAACCTCTCCCTTTCCCCTCAGCATGGCTGCCTCAGGAATTCTGGGAGTTGAAGTCCACGAGTCATAAAAGAGCCAAGGTGGCCTACCCCTGGGTTAGGGAATTATGGGAGTTGATACCTACAGATCCGAAGGGCCCCTAGTTGGAGGATAATACAGGTAGTCCTCGCCTTATCACAACTGAGCCCAAAATTTCTGTCGCTAAGTGAGACATTTGTGAAGCGAGTCTTGGCCCATTTGACGACCTTCCTTGGCCGCCGTTGTTAAGTGAACCACTGCAGTTCAGTCAGTAACCTGGTTAAGTGAATCTGGCTTCCCCCATGACTTTCCTCGTCGGAAGGTCGGCAAAAGGGGGGAGGTCACGTGACCCTGGGACATAGCAACGGTCCTAAATACGAACCAGTTGCCAAGCGTCTGGAGTTTTGATCACGTGTCCCTGGGGAAGCTGCAAAGGTCGTAACTGTGAAACACGGCCATAGGTCACATTTTTTTCGGCGCCGCCGTAACTTTGGAACGGTCACTAAATGAGCTGGCTGGGGAATTGTGGGAGTTGAAGTCCACACCTCTTTATGTGGCTGAGGTGGAGCAACGCGGCTGAATAGCGTCCAAGTTGCCACAAAATGGAGAAAACTAGCTTGTTTCTGAGCAGCTCTGACCAACATATCACTCATACGTTGTCCAACCCAACTGGGTGTTTCAGTCCTGAAGATGAACTATCACCGATTAGAAGACCATCTACCACTCCTTGAAGATCTCCAAGGAGCCAGCCGGGCCCTCCTACGGCTTCAAGATGTCTACGCTCTGAGCGTCCCAGAATTGGCCCGAGGCCGGTTTCGCACAGCGAGCGAGACCCACCCTGAGGTCTACCATCCCAGCCAGGACTTCGCCTTGTCCGCCGATGACTGTTTCCACATCGGGAAGGTGAGGCGCTGAAGTCATGAGGGCCAACTCACGAATTCCTCAAACAAGGGCTTGGGAGGCTTCCCCTCACGAAAAGGGGGCAGTCCGGCGGTGGGTTGGTTTCTTAGAGGGTTCCTCTTTGGGCTAAGGGGCTTTGGGGTTGTGGGGTCTGGGAGGTGAGGTCCGAAAAGGCAAGACGACAAGACCACATGATAAGCAGGATCTTGCAAACTCTGCTAGAAGCTGGGAGACGGTGAGTTCTAGTCCCGCCTTAGGCACGACAGCCCACTGAGTGACTTTGGGACGATTACCAGGAGACGGTGAGTTCTAGTCCCGCCTTAGGCATGAAAGGTGGTGAGTTTGGGGCCAATCAGATAGATAGATAGATAGATAGATAGATAGATAGATAGATAGATAGATAGATAGATGATAAATAAAAGATAGATAGATAGATAGATAGATAGATAGATAGATAGATAGATAGATAGATAGATTGAGAGATGATAAATAAAAGATAGATAGATAGATAGATAGATAGATAGATAGATAGATAGATAGATGGATGGATGGATGGATGGATGGATGGATGGATGGATGGATAGATAGATAGATAGATAGATAGATGATAATGATAGATAGATGATAGATAGATAGATGATAATGATAGATAGATAGATAGATAGATAGATAGATAGATAGATAGATAGATAGATAGATAGATAGATAGATAGATAGATAGATAGGCAGGCAGGCAGGCAGGCAGGCAGGCAGGCAGGCAGGCAGGCAGGCAGATAAAGAGAGAGAGAGAGACAGACAGACAGACAGATAAAGATAGGTAGGTGACAGACAGACAGATAAAGATACATAGATAGATAGATAGATAGACAGACAGACAGACAGACAGATAAAGATAGATAGGCAGAGAGAGATAGATAGATAGATAGATAGATAGATAGATGGATGGATGGATGGATGGATGGATGGATGGATGGATAGATAGATAGATAGATAGATAGATAGATAGATAGATAGATTGAGAGATGAGAGATGATAAATAAAAGATAGATAGATAGATAGATAGATAGATAGATGATAATAATAATAGATAGATAGATAGGTGATGGATAGATAGATAGATAGATAGATAGATAGATAGATAGATGGATAGATGATAGTGATAGATAGATAGATGATAGATAGATAGATGGATAGATGATAATGATAGATGATAGATAGATAGATGATAATGATAGATAGATAGATAGATAGATAGATAGATAGATAGATAGATAGATAGATAGATAGATAGATAGATAGATAGATAGATAGGCAGGCAGGCAGGCAGGCAGGCAGATAAAGAGAGAGAGAGAGACAGACAGACAGATAAAGATAAGTAGGTGACAGACAGACAGATAAAGATACATAGATAGATAGATAGACAGACAGACAGACAGACAGACAGATAGAAGATAGATAGATAGATTAGATAGATAGATAGATAGGTAGGTAGGTAGGTAGGTAGGTAGGTAGGTAGATAGATAACCTTTATTGTCAGTTTTTATTGTGGGCATATTGGCACACATTAAAAGAAATTTTGTCGCTTGCTCTCAAAAGTGTACACATACACAACACACATTTAAAGATGCTACATGCAGCATATGTATACACCTACACCTTTACATATAAATACCATATAAATATTAATTGATATTTTAATCACAAAATTAATCACAATTAATTACAATTAATCACAAAATATTGGAAATAGGCAGTCCGGCGGGTCATCTGGGCCCAGGCCCTACAGTGCTTGGGGACGTGCAGCCACGGAGCAGGACCGGTGTGGTTCCCAGGAGTCCCCCTGGTCTTCGAATCTAGGGCCACAGGGGCAGGGAGGGCCCCCCCGTTCCTGCTCCTCCGACCCGTCTGGGTTTTGCTGGGCATCTGATCTGCCCCCTTGCTTGCAGGTGGCGTATGATACGGAGGATTATTACCACGCGATCCTGTGGATGGAGGAAGCCGCCAGGCTCTTCCGGAGCTCCTACGGGAACTGGAAGATGGAAGACGAGGGCAGCCTGGAAGATGCCCTGGACCATCTGGCCTTCTCCTACTTCATGGTGAGCCTGATAGCAGCTCCCGGAATGGACAGCGGCTTTCAGTTATTCCAAAGGGCACTTTGGAATTCTTTCTTTTTCTTTCTTTCTTTCTTTCTTTCTTTCTTTCTTTCTTTCTTTCTTTCTTTCTTTCTTTCTTTCTTTCCTTCTTTCTTTCTTTCTTTCTTTCTTTCTTGCTTCCTTGCTTCCTTCTTTCCTTTCTCTCTCCCTCCCTCCCTTCCTAAGTCCAAAACTATCCCCGAATTGCACAAACTCTATTGTGTCTAGAGTTAAAAATGAAGACTGTCCAGATCCAGGATGCCTCAGATCCAAAGTCTGTCTTTCTTTCTTTCTTTCTTTCTTTCTTTCTTTCTTTCTTTCTTTCTTTCTTTCTCTCTTTCTCTCTTTCTCTCTTCCTTCCTTTCTCTCTCCCTCCCTCCCCCCTCCTTTTTTCTTTCTTTCTTTCTTTCTTTCTTCCTTTCTTTCTTTCTTTTTCTTTCTATTTCCCTTCTTCCCTTCCTAAGTTCATAACTATCCCCAAATTGCACAAACTCTATTGTGTCTAGAGTTAAAAATGAAGACTGTCCAGATCCAGGATGCCTCAGATCCAAAGTTTTCTTTCTTTCTTTCTTTCTTTCTTTCTTTCTTTCTTTCTTTCTTTCTTTCTTTCTTTCTTTCTTTCTTTCTTCCTTTTCTTTCTTTCTTTCTTTCTCTCTCTCTCTCTCTCTTTTTTTTTTTTCATCCTTCCTTCCTTCCTCCCTCCCTTCCTGAATCCCAGCTCTCTCCGAATTGCCTGGGTTGAGGTGCTTTTTGTTCTTCTCCATCCACAACCTGGCAGCCTCCAGGCCCTGGCTGAGCCCTGCAAGCTTCAGTTCTGGCAGTTGAAGTCCACACATCTTAAAATTGCTGATGTTGACAACACGGCTGAGATCTTGGAAGCTGCCAAGAATGGGGAAAGCTGGTTGTTTTCTGACGAGTTAGAGTTACGTGTCATTAATACACTGTCTGGGAAAAGGCGTGTCCATTAAATCCAAATGTCCGTTAAATCTGAATTTGCATTTGTACTTGTCTATATCTACGTAAGTTAGTGGTTCTCAACCTTTTTAATGCTGCGACCCCCAACCGGTCGTAAGTCGAGGACTACTCAACCGGTCGTAAGTCGAGGACTACTCAACTAGTGCAGCACCGTTTGCAGAATGGGACTTTTGGCAGGCTCAGCAGGGCAGAGACAGCCTGGACAATTCCTATTGGCTTTTGAAAGCCAATAGAATGAGACTCTATTCAAGAGAGTCTATTCTATTGGCTTTCCAAAGCCAATAGAATAAAAGGGAGTAGCACAGCTAAGGAAAAGGGGGGGAAAATGGCGGACTGCATTGTTTGGCGACCCCCGTGAAATGGTCGTTTGACCCCAAATGGGGTCCCGACCCACAGGTTGAGAACCACTGACGTAAGTAGATCAATCATGTCAGGTATCCGAATAAAATTGGATTTGGCACATTTTAAGGGGTGCTAGTCCACTCAAGGGAAATGCAATTAAGGCAAACTTTTTTTGCTTTGTTCCTGACACTATTACACCAAGGATTTACTCTGATTTTTAAAGGAATACAGGTGGAGCAAATCCCGAAACAGACAATGTTAACCTTTTTATAAAACATGTCCAATTTCAAATTTGGGGTTGCTACAATGCTGTGTTTCATACGCTGCATGAAACTGCCAGTGGATGTTGTGGCCCGGTTTTTAAACTGGGCTCAGGCAAGAGTCATTTTGAAATTTAATCTCTTTATTCCTATAAAATGTTAATGATCCACTCCTTTTCTCTCTCTCTCTCTCTCTCCTCCCTTCCTCTTTGAAATCTTGTTTTTGCAAGGCAGGGAACATTTCTCACGCCTTAAGGCTGTCCCAAGAATTTCTTCACTACGGTATGTGCTTCTCGGAAAGAAATATCCAGATTTATTTGGTCTGTCAGTCTGACACCGTGGGCTTTCAAAGATTGTGTTCTTAATAAATTCCATCACATCTTCACTGCCAAAAAAAGACTGTATTTACCCGAAAAGCAGGCGACTCTGAATTTAGCTCCCAAATACCAAAATGCCATATAGATAAGAGACAAGAAATTTCATCCCTTTTGTTTCCTATATTCGCAGCAAACAGGAGAGGCCTCCCATTGGAAAAAGCGAATTGTTTAAGAAAAAAATACACTTTTAATGACCATTTGACACCCCCCCCAGAATTATTACTGCGTGTAGTCCTCGGCTTACGACCACAACGAAGCCCAAATTTTCTGTTGCTAAGTGAGACAGCTTTAAGACCTTTCCTGCCAAGGTTGTTAAGCAAATCACCACAATTGTTAAATGAGTAACATTGTTGTTAAGTGAATCTGGCTCCCCCCCCCCCTTGACTTTGCTTGTCAGGAAGTCACAAAAGAGGATTGTGCAACCCCCACGGGACACACCCACCGTCGTAAATACGAGTCAGCTGCCAAACGTCTGAATTTTGATCACATGACTGGGGGGATGCTGCAATGGTCATAAGTGTGAAAAATGGTCATAAGTCACTTTTTCGGCGCTATCGTAACTTTGAACGGTCACTAAAGGGATGATTATGAGTCCTTGACTTATGATGGATTGCTTTAGGAGCGTTTGAAATGACAACGGACCTCGCTGTAGCTGCTTAATACCTGTGTTCAGAGTTAAGATGTTCACACAAAATTAGAATTATGTTTTGTGCATCTGGCAACCAGCTCACCTTTACAACTGTGAGAGGGACCTCGGAGTCCTAGTGGACAATCACGTAAATAGGAACCAGCCGTGTGCTGCAGCTGCCAAAAAAGCCAACACAGTGCTGGGCTGCATTAACAGAGGGATAGAATCAGGATCACGTGAAGTGTTAATACCACTTTACAAGGCCTTGGTAAGGCCATACTTGGGATCCTGCATCCAGTTTTGGTCACCACGATGTAAAAAAGATGTTGAGATTCTAGAAAGAGTGCAGAGAAGAGCAACAAAGATGATTAGGGGACTGGAGGCTAAAACATATAAGGAACGGCTGCTGGAATTGGGTAGGTCTAGTTTAATGAAGGACTAGGGGGGACATGATAGCAGTCTTCCAGTATCTCAAGGGCTGCCCCAAAGAAGAGGCAGTCAAGCTATTTTCGAAAGCGCCTGAAGGCAGAACGAGAAGCAACTGATGGAAACTGATCAAGGAGAGAAGCAACCTAGAACTAAGGAGAAACTTCCTGACAGTGAGAACAATTAACCAGTGGAACCACCTGCCTCCAGAAGCTGTGAATGCTCCAACACTGGAGGTTTTTAAGAAGAGACTGGACAGCCATTTGTCTGAAATGGTATAGGGTTTCCTGCCTGCGCAGGGGGTTGGACTAGATGACTTCCAAGGTCCCTTCCAACTGTATTATTATTATCATCATTATTATTATTATTTATAATCCTTTGCTGTGTCCCGTGATCATGTGGCTGTGATTTGTGGTTGTTTTTTTGGGGTTTTTTTTTGCTGGTTTCCGGTGTTCATTTCTGGTTTCCAGTAAAAAATATCCATTGGGGAAATTAGATTCAATTAACGGCGGCATTCGCTTAACGGCCATCATAAAAAATGGTCATCACATCGATTTCCGTCATGTGATGCCTCGACTTAATGACTGTGGCTTAAAATCTTAATTTTGTGCTCAGTTCCGGTTACAAGTCAAGGACTTTTTGTCTAGTCCTTCTTTTGGATAAAAGATGACATATGCATTCATTTTATTTTACTTTTTTCCAAATTTATTTGCTGTCCATCTCCCAGTTAACACCAAGTCTGAACTTAATAATAATGATGATGATGATGATGATGATGGAAGGGACCTTGGAGGTCATCTAGTCCAACCCCCTGCTCAGGCTTGAAACCCTATATCACAGTGGTTCTCAACCTTTTTAATGTCGCGACCCCCCCAACCGGTCGTAAGTTGAGGACTACTCAACCGGTCGTAAGTCGAGGACTACTCAACTGGTGCAGCACCGTTTGCAGAATGGGACTTTTGGCGGGCTCAGCAGGGCAGAGACAGCCTGGACAATTCCTATTGGCTTTTGAAAGCCAATAGAATTAGACTCTATTCAAGAGAGTCTATTCTATTGGCTTTCAAAAGCCAATAGAATAAAAGGGAGTAGCACAGCTAAGGAAAAGGGGGGAAAAATGGCGGACTGCGTTGTTTGGCGACCCCCGTGAAATGGTCATTCGACCCCAAATGGGGTCCCGACCCACAGGTTGAGAACCACTGCTATATCATTTCAGACAAATGGCTGTCCAGTCTCTTCTTAAAAAAGTTCCAGTGTTGGAGCATTCACCGCTTCTGGAGCAGAATCTATTCAAGCACACAGTTTTATTCTAAATTGGATCATGGAGAAGCGTTGCTGCTTCCTAACCACAGCCCAATCGTGACTAATGTAGAATGAAATCATCTCCAATTAATTAACTTAGAATTGTCTGGCTAGTAAGGCTAATCTGTCGTCAAAAACAGCTTGGAAAGAGGCATTTAAAAGGTTCCTTAAATTTTTTTTTTTTCAAACTGGCAAGGGAGATTTCGCCCTCTCTGAAATTTCAGACGCTGAGTCAAACAGCAGTTTGAGGACCAGGAACAGCAAAAACATGTTTCTAGCCAGCTGGCAAATTCATCTTTTTTTGTTTTTTTCGAGAAAAAGGATAAGAAACACACAGCCGTCCATCCAGCAGGCTTTTTCAAACCAACTTCTGCAAAACCTGATCTGGTCCTGTGGGAGATTAAGGACCCAAGCGGGCAGAAAATGGATGCAATTGTCCATTATTATCCATTGCAGTTTTCAATAGGGCCCACAGGTCAAAAAAGTCAAGATGGCAGCCACAAGGGTTCCTGCCTTTTTATTGGTGCAAATTCGGACCCTCTGCCATTTTGACTTTTTGGCATTTTTCTCAAGAAAAAAGAACCCCATTGACTGAACACCGATTTGTTTGGCTAAGAAATTAAACTCCGGATTACTGTACAGGCAATCCTCGACTTTCGACTGTTTTGTTTAGTGGCCGTTCGAAGTTACAACGGCGCTGAAAAAAAGGGGTTACCGTTTTTCGCACTTTGCAGCATGTGCTCAAAATGCAAATGCTCGGAAGCTGACATGGGCTTATGACAGTTGTAGCCTCCCCCACCGTCACGTGATCAAAATTCAGACCCTTGGCAACTGACTCGTATTTATGATGGTTGCAACATACCGGGGGTCGTGTGATCCCTTGTTGCGACCTTTGGACAAGCAAAGTCCATTGGAAACTGGATTCACTTAATTTGAGGACTAGCGACAATTGGGGAGCTCATCATTTGAATTTTCCTACATTGGAAATATTGATTCCGCGTTTCCAATCAGTCGCGTTTTTTGTACTGAACAGCAAATGGAGGAACTTTTCCTCCATATATTTTATTGATTTTTTAAAAACATAAATCACTTAATAGTTGGTAAACGGTGTGTTTGCTGGGTTTATATTTATAAACAAAAATCATTGACAATTGGTTTCTATAATCCATAATCCACAAGTACATTTAGTTGATTTCCCCTTTTCCCCAAAATGTCTTCTTTGCAAACCTTGAAATAATTCAGTTCTTGTTATTTTGTTAAATAACAGTTACATATATGATTTTTTCCCCCAATATTCCTAGAAATAATGATCACATCAATTCTTTTCTATCTAATCATTTTGGTTGCCTCACCTTACATCCTGTGACAGTCCTTATTTGGATTTGTTTCCCATAAAGTTCAAAGTATTCTTGCTGGTTAAGATTTTCTTAACAGTTAACTACATTTAAAGATTTAAATCCATTTTTCCCATATAAACCATCTCAACACTTTTACATTTCTTAAATAATGGGTAAAAACAGTGAACAAAAGGAAAAGAGAGCAAGAGTGAAGAAACACAAAAAGTAAAATACTACTTAAAATATATATTCCTCCCAAGAGCTAATCTATATTTTGGGGACAAAACCGAGGTAGTCCTTTTTCTGAACGTTGAAAGGGAAATAAATTGCAAACACAAGTTCCACCCTCTTGCCAATTTTCCATGGGTAGAATATTGCCTCTTGATTAATGGTTCCGTTTAAAAAAAATAAAAAATAAAATAAAATTAAGAAGTTCCAGAGCCTAAAAATTTTAAAGCCCTCTGCCCTATAAAATGAAAGCCGTGCTTAAATGTCAGAGCATGCACAGTCTTATTGCGCTGAGGTAACCCAGGAATAAATACAGTAAACAGTGGTTTGTACTTAAATGTGGTTTATTGTAGAATATCTACAAATATACACTAGAACAGTGGTTCTCAACCTTTCTAATGCCGTGACCCCTTAATACAGTTCCTCATGTTGTGGTGACCCCCAACCATAAAATTATTTTCATTGCTATTTCATAACTGTAATTTTGCTACTGTTATGAATCATAATGTAAATATCTGATATGCAGGGTGTATTTTCATTGTTACGAATGGAACATAATTAAAGCATAGTGATTAATCACAAAAACAATATAGCAATGCTCTATTCAATAGAGTCTATTCTATTGGCTTTCAAAAGCCAATAGAATAAGAGGGAGTAGCACAGCTAAGGAAAAGGGGGGAAAAATGGCGGACTGCATTGTTTGGCGACCCCCGTGAAAGGGTCGTTCGACCCCAAATGGGGTCGCGACCCACAGGTTGAGAACCACTGCACTAGAAATAAGATACATACGCGTGGTCATTCAGCAAACTCCAATATACAGCAATTACAGCAGTCAAAAGGATGAGAGAGAGAGGAAGACTCCAACAAAAAAAACTTCCCTTTTATACTCAGACTCTTAAAGGGACACAGACCCTGCTGAATCATTCCTATCATTGCATCATCCTATCATTGCATCACCCACCTGTACATAAGCTGGTTAGCTATTAAATTATTATCCTGACATTAAAAATGGCTGCACAGGTTTTGCTTGACTTATAACTGTTCATTTAACAATGGATCCAAGTCACAATGGCCTCAGAAAAAGTGATTTATAACCTGTTCTGAAGCTGATGACCATCGTGCCACTCCCGTGATTGCAACTCAGATGCTCGCATTTGCGACCAGTTGCAAATGTCAATTGAGAAAGCTGAGTTCACTTAACAATTGTGTGACTATCTGAACGACCATGTGATTCATTTAACGACGATGCTGTTTCACCCAACGCTTGCGACAGATTCTTCTCTCCCGCAGATCCAGGCAATGAACGGATGGCGAGGACCGTCTTGAAGTACGAGAAGCTTCTGAGGAAGAACCGGAAGGAGGGCGAAGAAAGGGTCCCTTTGCAGAGACCCAACGTGACCCACCTGGAGACGCGAGAGGCCTACGAGAAGCTCTGCCAGAGGCTGGGGTCTCAGGTGGGCGAGCGGTGGAGGCCTTTTTTCTGAGGAAGAAGCATGTGACGTTTGAGGAGGACCAAGAATGATGTGGTGTAGGCACCTCTAAGGGGGGGAGGGACACCTAATTATTGCAATTTTTTTATGTGTCTTTCTGCAGGTGTATATATAATCTGCCTTTTCCAGGGAAATTCCCATGTTCCATGCAACTCTGCTTCCACTTTATCCTTACAAATACAAGCCTATAAAGGGAAGGTCTTATCCAAATCTTGCTTGCAGAGAGTTCACCTAACTAATTTCCTCTCTCTCGCCCTCTCCCTCTCTCTCTGTCTCTCTCTCTCTCCCTTCCTTCCTCCCTCTTTTCTTTTTCTTTCTCTCTCTCTCCCTTCCTTCCTTCCTTCCTTCTTTTCTCCTCCCTTCCTTCCATCTCTCTCCTTCCTTCCTCCCTCCCTCCCTCCTTTCTTTTTCTTTCTTTTTCTCTCTTCCTTCCTTCCTTCCTCCTCTCCTTCCCTTCCCACCCTCTCTCCTCCCTCTCTCCCTCTTTTCTTTTTCTCTCTTTCTTCTTAACTTCCTTTCGCCTCCCTCCCTTTTCTTTCTTTCTCTCCCTTCCTTCCTTTCTTTCTCCTCTCTCCTTCCCTTCCTACCATCTCTCCTCCCTCCTTCCCTCTTCTCTTTTCTTTCGCTCTCTCTTCCTTCCCTCCTTCCCTTCCTTCCATCCCTCCGTCTTTTCTTTTTTTCTTCCTTCCTTCCTTCCTTCCTTTCTTTCTCTCTCTCTCTCTTCCTCCCTTCCTCCCTCTTCTCTTTTCTTTTTCTTTCTCTCTCTCTTCCTTCCTTCCTTTCTCCTTCCCTTCCTCCTTCCCTTCCTTCCACCTATCTCCTTTGTCCCTCCCTCCCTTTCTTTTTCTTTTTCTTCCTTCCTTCCTCCTCTCCTTCCCTTCCCACCATCTCCTCCCTCCCTCTCTCCCTTTTCTTTTTCTCTCTTTCTTCTTTCCTTCCTTTCTCCTACCTCCCTCCTTCCCTTCCTTCCATCTCCTCCCTCCCTCCCTTTTCTTTTTCTTTCTCTTTCTCCCTTCCTTTCTTTCTCCTCCCTCCTTCCCTTCCTACCATCTCTCTCCTCCCTCCTTCTTTTCTTTCGCTCTCTCTTCCTTCCCTCCTTCCCTTCCTTCCACCCCTCCCTCCCTCCCTCTTCTTTCTTTCTTTCTTTCTTTCTTTCTTTCTTTCTTTCTCTTTCTTTCTTCCTTCCTTCCTTCCTTCCTTCCTTCCTTCCTTCTCTCTCTCTCTCTCTCTCTCTCTCTCTCTCTCTCTCTCTCTCACCAGTAAGGCAACCTTGACCCTTAAAGACTTAAGCGTGAGCCTTCCAGCTCCAACACCTTCCCCACTCTGATTTCCTTACCATTCACTTCTGCCACGTCCCAATTCATTTCTAACATGTTTTCTAGTCCTCATGAATCTCCCAGTTGACTTGCCAAGGAACATTAACCTTGAAACAGAGTCTCCAAGAAGCTGGGAAGGGACTTTTAGCAGAAGAAGGCAGAGATCAAACCTCCTTTCCTCCAAGTTGGTGGTGTAACTCTAAGACACCCTCCAATAGGGCTCGCCGACAGTCTAGATCAGGGTTGGGCAACCTGGGCTCTTTTATGACTCGTGGACTTCAACTCCCAGAATCCCTGAGCCAGCCATGCTGAGGGGAAAGGGAGAGGTTTCCATGAGGAGCCAGGCTGGCTCAGGAATTCTGGGAGTTGAAGTCCACAAGTCATAAAAAAGCCAAGTTTGAAAACCATTGGATTAGATCAGGGGTAGGCAACCTTGGCTCTTTTATGACTTGTGGACTTCAAGTCCCAGAATTCCTGAGCTAGCCATGCTGAGGGGAAAGGGAGAGGTTTCCAAGCTCAGCCATGCTGGCTCAGGAATTCTGGGAGTTGAAGTCCACGAGTCATGAAGGGGCCAAGGTTGCCTACCCCTGGGCTAGATAAAATAATTCAGAGGCGTCTCCAGAGGGTTAGGGTTATTAAAGGCAGGTCAAAGTTGAAGTCCACCTGTCCTCATGTTGCCAAGATGGAGAAACACTGCATTAGACATATATTATTATTATTATTATTACTACTACTAGTACTATTATTATTATGGATCATCGCACAGTCAGCCAGATGTTCAGACTGGATTTGGCATTTTGTCTACCTATCGAGTCCTCACCCAGGACCTGGGATAGGCAGATGTGGATGTTTGATGGTATTACAGGTATCATTGCAAGATGGAAGCGATTCCTAGTAAGGCCTCCTTTTGCAATTGACTAATAGCGAATTTGTCAATGCCAATGGTGTTCAAGTGGTGCTCCACCATTGGCATTGACAATTATTATTATTATTATTATTATTATTATTATTATTATTATTATTATTATTATTAATTATTATTAAAGCCAGCCCAGCGTCCTCACCTTGCAGAGAGAAGGGTGGCGAATGCATTTAAATCAACCGATAAATAATAATAAATTAATATATATATATATGTGTGTGTGTGTGTGTGTGTGTGTGTGTGTGTTGCTTTGCAAAACGGACCCCTTGTCCCGCTCTCCTTTCAGCCAGCCCACGATCGACTCTCTTGCTCCTACGAGGCCAATCGGAGCCCTTGGCTGATCCTGCAGCCTCTGAGAAAGGAAGTTTTGCACCCGCAGCCTGAGCTGACCCTGTACCACGATTTTGTCAGCCCATCGGAGGCAGAGAAGATCAAGGCCCTGGCAGCTCCGGGGGTACGTGGTGCCTCGGCGGGCTGCTCTTCTTTAGCATTTCTCCTGCTGTCAAGGTGCAGGTAGACCTGGACTTACGGCCACCACGGAGCCCAAAATTTAGGTCGCTAAGTGAGACATTTGTGGAGTCAGTTTTGCCCCATTTTATAACGGCGGTTCAGCAAATCGCTCCAGTTGTTAAGTGAGCAACACCGTTGTTAAATAAACCCGGCTTCCCCCATTGACTTGGCTTGTGAGAAGGTTGCGAAAGGGGATCACATGATCCGGGGACATTGCAACCGTCCTAAGTACATGTCAGTTTCCAAGCATTTGGATTTTGATCACATGATCACTGGGATGCTGCAAAGGTCGTATGTGAAAAATGCTAAGTCCCTTTTTTCAGTGCCGTCGTAACTTGGAACGGTCACTAAGGGAACCACTGTAAGGCGAGGACTACCTGTCGTTCATTTAACGACCACTCAGAGTTACCACGGCACTCAAAAATGTGATTTTTGATTTTTTTTTCACATTTACGACCATTGCAAAAAATGACACGATCGATTCAGATGCTTGTCGACTCGTACTTATGACGGTCGCGATGTCCCAGCGTCGTGGGATCGCTTTTTGTTTCGTTCTGACAAGCAAAGATTAGGAGAAGGGATGAAAAATCAGAAAGGAATAAAATAAAATAAAATAAAATAATAAAACAAAACAAACTATAAAATAATAAAATAAAATAAAATAATAAAACAAAACAAAATATAAAATAAAATAATAAAATAAAATAAAATATAAAATAATAAAATAAAATAAAATATAAAATAATAAAATAAAATAAAATATAAAATAATAAAATAAAATAAAATATAAAATAAAATATAATAAAATAAAATGAGATAAAATAAAAATAATAAAATAAAATAAAATAAAAAATAAAATAAAATAGTAAGTAAATAAGTGAATAAGTGAACGAACGAACGAATGAATGAATAAACCAGAAAGAAACAAATCATGTAAGTTCTGTTAACCAGGTCGTGGAGTGCTCGACTTATATGACCCCAACTGAGATCCAAAATTTCTGTCTCTAAGCAAGACAAGTCGTTAAGTGAGTTTCCCCCATTTTGCGACCTTCCTTGCGGCGGTTGTGAAGTGAATCGCTGCCGCTGTTGAGTGAGTCACGCCGTTGGTAAGTGAGTCCGGCTTCCCCCGTTGACTTGGCGCTTACCAAGAGGTTGCAAAAGGGGATCATGTGACTCCCGGGACACTAAAACTGTCATAAGTCCATGCCAGTTGCTAAGCATTTTTGATGATGACGTGAACCCTGGGGATGCTGCAACGGTTGTAAGGGGGGAAAACCGTCATTAAGTCCCTTTTCTCGGCGATGTTTTCCCTTAGAGTGGTCACTAAACGAGCCGTCCCTTCCCCCTCGCTTTCCTCTCCTCTCCTCTCTCCCTCATCCCTCTTTTTCTCCAGTTGCAGAGATCAGTGGTGGCTTCCGGGGAGAAACAGGAAGAAGCAGACTATCGGATAAGTCAGAGGTAAGATGGGTGGACTTCAACTCCCAGAATTCCCCAGCCAGTAATTTCCTTTTTCTCCTCCTCTTTCCTCCCTCCCTTCTTTTCTCCTTTCCTTCTTTTCCTCCTTCCTTCCTTCCTTGCTCTTTTCTTCCTTCTTCTTCCCTTTCCTCTCTCCTCCTCTCCTCTCCTCTTTTCTTTCCTTCCTTCCTTCCCTCCCTCCTTTGCTTTCCTTCCGTTTCCCTTTCCCCTTCCTTCCTTCCTTTTTTCCTTCCTTCCTTCCTATCTTCCTTCCTTCCTCCCTAATTCCCTCCCTCCTTTGCTTTCCTTCCATTTCCTTTTCCCCTTCCTTCCTTATCTTCCTTTCTTCCTCTCTTTCTTTCATCTCTTCTTTCTATTCCTCCTTCCCTCCTTTGCTTTCCTTGCTTTTCCTTTCCGCCTTCTTCCTTTCCTTCTTTTCCTCCTTCCTTCTTTCCTTCCTTTCTCTTTCCTTTCTTCATTCTCCTTCCCTTTCCCCTCCCCTCCTCTCATCTTTTCCTTCCTTCCTTCTTCCTCCTTCCCTCCATCTTTTGCTTTCTTTCCGTTTCCTTTTCCCCTTCCTTCCTCCCTTCCTTCCTTTCATCTCTTCTTTTGTTTCTTTCCTTCCTCCCTCCTTTGCTTTCCTTCCTTTTCCTTTCCCCCTTCCTCCTTTCCTACCTTTCTTCCTTCCTATTTTCCTTCCTTCCTCCCTTTCTTTCATCTCTTCTTTCTATTCCTCCCTCCCTCCTTTGCTTTCCTTCCTTTTCCTTTCCCCCTTCCTCCTCTCCTATCTTCCTTCCTCCCTTTCTTTCATCTCTTCTTTCTATTCCCTCCTTCCTCCTTCCCTTCCTCCTTTGCTTTCCTTCTTTTTCCTTTCCCCTTCTTCCTTTCCTATCTTCCTTCCTTCCTCCCTCCCTTTCTTTCACCTCTTCTTTCTATTCCCCCCTCCCTCCCTCCTTTGCTTTCTTTCCTTTTCCTTTCCCCCTCCCTCCTTTCCTATCTTCCTTCCTTCCTTCCTTCCTTCCTTCCTTCCTTCCTTCCTTCCTTCCTTCCTTCCTTCCTTCCTTCGCCGCCCATCTCACTGTCAGTACGAGAGCGGGCAGCTCACCCTCTCCTCCCCTTCCTTCTCCTCCTCCTTTTTCAGTTCTCCAGCCATTGTTTCAAAATCTGCCTCTTTTTTTTCTTTCTGTGATGCAGACAGCCGGTCTGGCTGGGTCTGTACCCCAAAACAGCCCGAGCCGCCCCTTTCCTTGGCCTGCCTTTGCACAGGCACCTTCACGGCGGGGGAAAGTCCGCCCTTTCTGAATGACCTTCCACGTCTACATGATTATAAAGCGGCTGTCTGGTTTTTTCCTTCCTTACGACTCTTTCTCCGGAGGGTCCGGGTTTATAAGCGCCGCCGTTCATCCTTTCCCGCAGGACGGTCTGTCTGAGTTGGAGGGAAATGACTTCCGACGGCCTCTGGAAAGGCCAAGGAAAGTGGGGAAAAACACAGATCAAGTGGCTAGAGTTGCACAGCAGCCCCTAAAAATAAGTTCCATGATCTCACCCTGAATTTTTGCAGGGGGGGGGAGGAAAAAAAAACAAACAAACCTTAAGTGCTTCTCCAGCTACCAAGAGAACGGAGCACTTAACTCTTCTCTCGCCTCGGATGCTCTGTAGAAAAAGAGATCTGGTTAGAACTGGTCCCGTTGAAGTCCTTTAAACGCCGATTAGCCCTATATGTGGGAATGGCTGTTAGGTGGGAGTCTGTTAGTGGAAGCTTTCAGATTATTATTATTATTATCATCATCATCATCATCATCATCATTATTATTATTATTATTATTATTATTATTATTTTAAAAAACTGCTTCTTCTGTACCCTGGTAACTTTCTCCTCCTTCTCTTTCTTCTTTCTCCTTCTCCCTTTTTTTTGTCTTTCTCCTCCCCCCTCCTCTTCCTCCTCCTCCCATTCTCTTTCTCTTCCACTCCGCAAACCCCCCTCCCTTCCAGCACTGATGAAGTTACCTAGTTGGGTCAGGAAACGTCTGCAAGAAAACAACCAACTCAGAGAGCACCAAGGAGGCCACAATCGTGGTCGTTGTCCTCCTCCTCCTCCTCCTCTCCACCACCCCGCTCCCTTCTAGCCCTGATGATGTTCCCTAGTTGGGTCATGAAACGTCTGCAAGAAAACCACCCAGCTCAGAGAGCACCCAGGACCCCATAATCCTTCCTTCCTTCCTTCCTTCCTTCCTTCCTTCCTTCCTTCCTTCCTTCCTTCCTTCCTTCCTTCCTTCCTTCCTTCCTTCCTCTTCCTCCTCCTCCTCCTCCTCCTCCTCCTTCTCCCTTCTAGCACTGATGATGTTCCCTAGTTGGGTCATGAAACGTCTGCAAGAAAATCCACCCAGCTCAGAGAGCACCAAGGACCCCATAGTCCCTCCTCCTCCTCCTCCTCCTCCTCCCCCCCTCCTTGATTAGACTTATGGATTAAGTCAGAATAGCAGAATAACAGAACTGCCAAGTTGGAAGGGACCTTGGAGATCTTCTAGACCATCTATTATCGCGGACAGATTCCAGTCTCTCCTTGAAAAGCTCCCGTGTTGGGCCACCCGCCACATCTGGAGGCAAAAGCCGTCCCAAGTCATTAAATTGCTCTCTGGGGGAAACCCAATCCTGTTAACTCACTGTCGGACTGCGGCTGTCGCTGGATCTTTTTCAGTGCTTGGCTGAAAGACAGCGTGGATCCCGTGATCGGGGCTATGGGTCGGCGGGCTGCGGCCTTAACGGGCCTGAATACCCAGCACCCTTACGCGGAATACCTCCAGGTGGTCAACTATGGGTTGGGAGGCCACTACGAGCCCCACTTCGACCACGCGACGGTGAGTAAACCCCTTGCAAAACAATTGCATGTGGAAACAGCCTTTAGTAATAGTAGTAAAGTTGGAAGGGACCTTGGAGGTCATCTAGTCCAACCCCCTGCTCAGGCAGGAAACCATACACCATTTCGGACAAATGGCTGTCCAGTCTCTTCTTAAAAACGTCCAGTGTTGGAGCATTCACTGCTTCTGGAGTCAGGTGGTTCCACTGGTTAGTTGTTCTCACTGTCAGGAAGTTTCTCCTTAGTTCTAGGTTGCTTCTCTCCTTGATTAGTTTCCATCTGTTGCTTCTCGTTCTGCCTTCAGGCCCTTTGCAGAATAGCTTGACTCCCTCTTCTTTGGGGCAGCCCCTGAGATATTGGAATACTGCTATCCTGTCCCCCCTTGTCCTTCTCTTCGTTAAACTAGACATACTCAATTCTAGCAACCGTTCCTTATATGTTTTAGCCTCCAGTCCCCTAATCATCTTTGTTGCTCTTCTCTGTACTCTTTCTAGAGTCTCAACATCTTTTTTACATCGTGGTGACCAAAACTGGATGCAGTATTCCAAGTGTGGCCTTAACAAGGCATTGAAGAGTGGTATTAACACTTCACGTGATCTTGATTCTATCCCTCTGTTAATGCAGCCTAGCACTGTGTTGGCCTTTTTGGCAGCTGCAGCACACTGCTGGCTCATATTTAGGTGATTGTCTACTAGGACTCCGAGGTCCCTCTCACAGTTACTACTATTGAGCATGGTGCCACCTATGCTGTACTTGTGCATTTGGTTTTTCTTGCCTAAATGTAGAACCTTGCTTTTTTCACCCTTGAATTTCATTTTGTTAGTTAGTGCCCAGTTTTCAACTCTTTTCCATCTTCAGATGCAACAATAGCCAGGCTTAATCTGTAACCAAAGAGTTTCCCAAAAGGGGAGAAAAAAGGAAGATCGGTGTAAAAAACCAGAAAGATGTCAGAAAGCACCAGACTAGGAACCAGATTTGAGAATTCTAGTTCTGCATTAAGCACGAAAGCCAGCTGGGGGAGTTTGGGCCAATCAGCAGGAGAAGGCGAGTTCTAAACCCGTCTTAGCCAAGATGTGGCCCAATCACCAGGAAAGGATGACTTCTCATTCCACTTTAGGCCTGAAAGCCAGCTGGGTGACTGCGCCAATCACTAGGAGGTGGTGAGTTCTAGTCCTGCCTTATGCATGAAAGCCAGCTGGGTGACTTTGGGCCAATCACTAGGAGGTGGTGAGTTCTAGTCCTGCCTTATGCATGAAAGCCAGCTGGGTGACTTTGGACCAATCACTAGGAGGTGGTGAGTTCTAGCCACACTTTAGCCAAGAAAGTGGACTGCGTGACTTTGGGCCAATCACTAGGAGGTGGTGAGTTCTAGTCCTGCCTTAGGCATGAAAGCCAGTTGTGTGACGTTGGGCCAATCATCTTGAGGTGCTGAGTTCTAGTCCTGCCTTAGGCATGAACGTGGATTGGGTGACTTTGGGCCAATCACCAGGAGATGGGGAGTTCTAGTCCTGCCTTAAGCATGAAAATGGACTGCTTGACTTTGGGTCAATCACCGGGAGGTGCTGAGTTCTAGTCTCACCTTAGGCATGAAAGGCGACTGGGTGATTTGGGGCCAATCATCTTGAGGTGCTGACTTCTAGTCCCGCCTTAGGCATGAAAGCCAGCTGGATGGCTTTGGGCCAATCATCTTGAGGTGCTGAGTTCTAGTCCTGCCTTAGACCTGAAAACGGCTGGGTGACTTAGGCCCAGTCTCTCTCTTTCAGCCCAACCTCTCAAGGTTGTTGTGGGGAAAATCGGAGGAAGAAGAAATATGGTGTATGTTTGTTACCTTAATTATTTATAAAAAAATAATAAAGGTGGGATTAAACAAATAACGGTTATGTTAAGAATTGACCCACAGAATACAAGCATTGTAAACTCCATCGAATGGCTGATCTTGCAACAAGCTGCTCTTAAAAAAATCTCATTTTTTTTCCTTCTGATTCAGTCCAGAAAAAGCCCCCTGTATCGGATGAAATCTGGAAATCGAATAGCTACATTGATGATCTATGTGAGTTTTTAAATCTATTTTTCTTCCTTCCTTCCTTCCTTCCTTCCTTCCTTCCTTCCTTCCTTCCTTCCTTCCTTCTTTTCTTTCTTTCTTTCTTTCTTGGGCATTCATGGCAGACTTAGGGGTGCAAGAGATTGCTGAAGGTTCTGTGTTCAAGTTCCAAGCAAAAGGGCACGCCCACCATCACTCCTATTCTATTCTATTCTATTCTATTCTATTCTATTCTATTCTATTCTATTCTATTCTGTATTTCTGTTTTGTTCTGTTCTGTTCCATTCTATTCTATTTTGTATTTCTATTCTATTCTATTCTATTCTGTATTTCTTTTCTATTCTATTCTATTCTATTCTATTCTATTCTATTCTGTATTTCTATTTTGTTCTGTTCTGTTCTATTTTATTTTACTCTATTCTATTCTATTCTATTCTATTCTGTATTTCTATTCTTTTCTATTCTATTCTTTTATTTTCTATCCTGCATTTCATTTATATTCTATTCTGTATTTCTATTTTGTTCTGTTCTGTTCTATTCTATTCTATTTTGTATTTCTATTCTACTCTATTCTGTATTTCTATTCTTTTCTATTCTATTCTTTTATTTTCTACCCTGTATTTCTATTCTATTCTATTCTATTCTATTCTATTCTATTCTATTCTATTCTATTCTAGTCTAGTCTAGTCTAGTCTAGTCTAGTCTAGTCTAGTCTATATTTCTATTCTATTCTGTTCTGTTCATATACTTTGAAAGGTGTTTGGGGACCCCCTGATATGAACGAACCCCCTACTCTAATTAATGTTGATTGTATTACCATACAACCCACCCACCCCAACAGGGGCTGCTGAGACCAGACTTGTGAATTAGGGCATTAGGAGTTGTGGGGATTCCATCATGGGAGGTTTTCAATAAAGATTGGGCAACCATTTGCCTGGAATGGTATGGGATCTCCTGGCTTGAGCGGCGGGGGGGGGAGGGTGGACTAGAAGTCCTCCAAGGTCCCTTCTAGCTATTCTAGGATTCATGCTTTCTGTTGCCTCTTTTTGCTTAGCTGAGTTCAGTAGAAGCCGGAGGATCGACTGCCTTCATTTATGCCAATCTGAGCGTGCCGGTTGTGAAGGTGAGTCACTTCCTGGTGGGCCATTCCCGTCCTGGCCGGTTTTCATCCTGGGGAGTCAAAACCTGACTTTGTCCTCAGATCTGCTTCCTGGCAAAAATGTCCCTATCAGGGTCACAGCAGCCCTGTCATTCGTTCGTTCGTCCGTTCACTAGTGCCTTTATCCATTCCCTCAGTTACTCGCTCCTTTGTGCATTCGTTCACTCGTTCTTTGCTCATTCATTCACTCTCATTCACTCATTCACTCATTCACTAATTCATTCTTTGCTCATTCATTCACTTATTCACTATATTCATTCATTCACTCGTTCTTTGCTCATTCATTCACTCTCACTCACTCATTCACTCATTCACTAATTCATTCGTTGCTCATTCATTCACTCTCACTCATTCACTTATTCACTATATTCATTAATTCACTCGTTCTTTGCTCATTCATTCACTCTCATTCACTCATTCACTCATTCACTAATTCATTCGTTGCTCATTCATTCACTCTCACTTATTCACTTATTCACTATATTCATTCATTCACTCATTCTTTGCTTATTCATTCACTCTCATTCACTCATTCACTCACACTAATTCATTCGTTGCTCATTCATTCACTCACTCATTCACTTATTTACTATATTCATTCATTCACTCGTTCTTTGCTCATTCATTCACTCTCACTCAGTCATTCACACATTCACTAATTCATTCATTCTTTGCTCATTCATTCACTCTCACATTCACTTATTCACTATACTCATTCATTCACTCATTCATGCATTCACTAATTCATTCACTCATTCATGCATTCACTAATTCATTCACTCATTCTTTGCTCATTCATTCACTCTCATTCATTTATTTATTCATTAATTCATTCACTCATTTATTCATTCACTCACTCATTCACGCATTCCCGAAGTCTCTCATTAATTCATTCATTCACTCATTCTTTGCTCATTCATTTATTCTCATTTACTCACTAATTTATTCACATTCACTAATTCATTCACTCATTCATTCATTCACTCACTCATTCACGCACTCATTCACGCATTCAATTCATTCATTCAATCATTTTTTGCTCATTCACTCTCACATTCATTTACTTGTTCACTAATTCATTCACTCACTCATTCACACATTCCCCAAGCCCCTCATTAATTAATTCATTCACTCATTCTTTGCTCATTCATTCACTCTCATTCACTCACTTACTCATTCATTCACTTATTCACTAATTCATTCACTCTCATTCATTTACTCATTCACGCATTCACATTAATTCATTCATCTTTGCTCATTCATTCACTCACTCACTCATTCACTAATTCATTCACCCTCATTCATGCATTCACTCATTCACCCATTCATTCATGCATTCTCTCACTCTCCTTCATGCATTCACTAATTCATTCACTCATTCCTTTACTCACTCATTCACACATTCACTTCTGAATTCATTCACTCATTCTTTGCTCATTCATTCACTCACGCACGCATTCACTAACTCACTCATTAATTCACTCATTCTTTGCTCATTTACTCTCACTCATTCCCTTATTCACACATTCATTCATTCATGCATGCATTCATTCATTCACTCGCTCAGCGTGCAGGCCGTCCATCTGCCCTATAAGGTGACTCTCACCTTGACATTTTCAAACATCCGCCTCTCCCCGTCCCCCCCCCACGTGGCCTAGCCTGGGTTGGGGGCCACTCCTCTGTGGACACCCCCCCCAGCCTCTTCCCTTCTGGTCTTTTTTGAAGAACGCGGCTCTATTCTGGTGGAACCTGCGTAAGAACGGGCAAGGGGACGAGGACACCCTCCATGCTGGATGCCCAGTCCTAGCTGGAGACAAGTGGGGTGAGCAAGTGGGGCGTCCCCCTTTCCCCCCTACCCCCAAACTCCTGTCTTGCTGCAGCTACGGAGGAAACGCTGCGGATGGCAGGACCCTCCAAGCTCAGATGCCCTCTAGTACTCTGCGGGGGGAGGCTGGCGCCCGATCAAGCATTGCCAGTGCAGGCAGTCCTGGACTTACGGCCACGACGGAGCCCAAAGTTTCTGTTGCTAAGCGAGACCTTGGTTAAGCGAGTTTTTGCCCCATTTCTTGTCACAGTTATTCAACGAATCCCTGTAGTGGTTAAGTTAGTAAGACGGTTGTTAAGTCAAGCTGGCTTCCCCATCGACTTGGCTTGTGGGAAAGTCACGAAGCAAAGTCACATGACACCCCCCCCCGACGATGCGACCGTCATAAATACAAAGAGGTTGCCAAGGGACTGCATTTTCATCACGTGACCCTGGGGAGCACGCAGCGGTTCTTAAATGTGAAAAAAAAAAGGGCATTAAGTCCCTGTTTCCAACGCCGTTGTAATTTTGGTCACTAAAGGAACTGTTGGAAGTTGAGGACGTTTGTTTATTTATGCGGCAAAGTAGTCGTTCAACACCCAGAATTCCCCTAGCCAGCATAGCTGGGGAATTGTGGGAACTGAAGCCTACTTAGCTGGCTGGGGAATTCTGGGAGTTGAAGGCAGCATATTTGCGACTTGCTCGACAAATGCTGCCATAACCATTTATGTTGGTCTGGATCCACCTGTAGCTTCTTCAGATAGATTAATTTCAATGCCTTTTTTTTGGAAAGGATGGTGGGTAATTTCCAGCTTAATCGGCACCAGCATATTCCCAGGATCCCCTCAACCAGCACTGTGGATTTCAGCTCCCAGAAAACACCCCCCCCCATCCAAAATGGGTGGCCTGCAACTCCCAGAATTACCCAATGGGGATGGGTGGATTTCAGCTTTCAGAATCCCCCGCCAGAATGGATGGACTTCAACTCATGCTGGCTGTGGAATTCTGGGAAATGAAGTCCACAGATCTCCAGACTGCTAAGGTGGAGAGAGATTGGAGTAGGAGATAGTTGAACTGTTCAGGCTTCAGGAGTCCTTATATTGATTTATATCAGTGGTTCTCAACCTTTTTAATGCCGTGACCCCCAACCGGTTGTAAGTCGAGGACTACTCAACCGGTCGTAAGTCGAGGACTACTCAACTGGTGCAGCACCGTTTGCAGAATGGGACTTTTGGCGGGCTCAGCAGGACAGAGACAGCCTGGACAATTCCTATGGGCTTTTGAAAGCCAATAGAATTAGACTCTATTCAAGAGAATCTATTCTATTGGCTTTCAAAAGCCAATAGAATAAAAGGGAGTAGCACAGCTAAGGAAAAGAAGGGAAAAAAATTGCGGACTGCGTTGTTTGGCAACCCCTGTGAAATGGTCGTTTGACCCCAAATAGGGTCCCGACCCACAGGTTGAGAACCACTGATTTATATGGACAATCACCTATCTGAGATGGTATAGGAAGTGGAATTTTCCTCCCATGGGATTTTCCCATGTATTTTACTAGGAAACGTAGATAGGGCAGCCTAGAAAAGTCAGTGCCCCCCTAACCACACCCAAGGACTCCGAGTTTGTTGGCGATGTCCATTTTGCTCTATGAGTCCATGGTCACCTAACCCTAACCCTAAGTGGAATTTTCCTCCCATGGGATTTTCCCATGTATTTTACTAGGAAACGTAGATAGGGCAGCCTAGAAAAGTCAGTGCCCCCCTAACCACACCCAAGGACTCCGAGTTTGTTGGTGATGTCCATTTTGCTCTATGAGTCCATGGTGACCTAACCCTAACCCTAAGTGGAATTTTCCTCCCATGGGATTTTCCCATGCATTTTACCAGGAAACGTAGATAGGGCAGCCTAGAAAAGTCAGTGCCCCCCTAACCACACCCAAGGACTCCGAGTTTGTTGGTGATGTCCATTTTGCTCTATGAGTCCATGGTGACCTAACCCTAACCCTAAGTGGAATTTTCCTCCCATGGGATTTTCCCATGTATTTTATCAGGAAATGTAGATAGGGCAGCCTAGAAAAGTCAGTGCCCTCCCAACCATACCCAAGCACCCCGAATTTGTTGGCGATGTCCATTTTGCTCTATGAGTTCTTGGTGACCTAACCCTAACCCTAAGTGGAATTTTCCTCCCATGGGATTTTCCCGTGTATTTTACCAGGAAACATAGATAGGGCAGCCTAGAAAAGCAAGCGTGGTTGTAAAACGGGGGCAAAACTCACATAACAACCATCTCACAGTGACGGAAAGTTTGGGCTCCATTGTGGTGGTAAAGCCAAGGACTGCGTGTTATAACGATGTAGGTTACACATGGCGTAAATGGCCGCTCTGCAAACGAGTGCGACATATCCACGCCCTCCTGATCCTTCGTGTGCTTCCTCTCTCCCCCCAGTGGCCAACAAGTGGTTCCACGAACACGGGCAGGAGTTCCACAGGCAGTGCAGCACCAACCCGGAGGAATAGCCACACACACACCCTCAGGGTGCTCGGCGGGGGCGTGACGACGACGAGGATGTGTCTTGCAGCTGGGTTGGGGATGCGTAAAGAAAATCTGAACATCTGGCAGAGGCATGGAGGCAGAGATGGTTGGGGGAGCTGGGCAGAGTCAAGGCAGGTCCGAGTTTTATTTATTTATCTTGAGGACTAGCAGGTTGGGAGAAATAAAAAAGTTTGGGCTGCCGTGGAGAAGCCCACGCACAAGGGGGGGGGGGGTACCAGGTCACAGAAGTGTCCTTGCCACCTTCGCTCTCCCGAGACGAGGGATGAGAAGAGCCGGGGATATTCTGGGATGTGCCCCCAAATGGCGGAAGTGGGTAGAGCTAGCGCTTGACTTACGACGGATCCCCAAAATGTCATTGCTGAGCAAGGCAGCTGTTAAGAGAATTGCGCTCCATTTGACGGCCTTTGTTGCAGACGTTTCGTGACCCAGCTAGGGAACATCATCAGTGCAAACCCCCTTCGCTTCTAGCACTGATGATGTTAGGTAGTTGGGTCATGAAATGTCTGCAAGAAAAAAACACCCAGCTCAGAGGGCACCAAGGACCCCACAGTCCTCCTCCTCCTCCTCCTCACACCCCACTCCCTTCTAGCCCTGATGATGTTCCCTAGTTGGGTCATGAAACGTCTGCAACAAAACCACCCAGCTCAGAGAGCACCAAGGACACAATTTTCCTCCTCCTCCTCCTCCTCCCACTGATGAGGTTCCCTAGTTGAGTCATGAAACGTCTGCAAGAAGATCACCCAGTCAGAGAGCACCAAGGACACAATTTTCCTCCTCATCCTCCTCCTCCCTTCTAGCACTGATGATGTTCCCTAGTTGGGTCATGAAACGTCTGCAAGAAGACCACCCAGCTCAGAGAGCACCAAGGACCCCACAGTCCTCCTCCTCCTTCTCCCACTGATGATGTTCCCTAGTTGGGTCATGAAACGTCTGCAAGAAAAGCACCCAGCTCAGAGGACACCAAGGACCCCCCAGTCTGTCCTTCCTTCCTTCCTTCCTTTTCCTCCTCCCTTCTAGCACTGATGAGGTTTGGGTAACGAAGCATCTGTAAGAAAATTAACGGGCCGACATATTTTCTGTACACTTATTATATATTATATTATATTATGTGACGACTTGTTGTCTGTAAGAAAATAAAAGGGGAGGGGCTCAACTTATTTCCAAAGGACAACGGATGGAAACTAAGCAAGGAGAGAAGCAACCTGGCATTAAGGAGAAATTTCCCGACAGTGAGGACAATGAACCTGTGGAACAGCTTGCCACCAGAAGCTTCATCACTGGAGGTTTTTAAGAAGCGACTGGACAGCCAGTTGTCTAAATTGGTATAGGGTCTCCTGCCTGAGCAGGGGGTTGGACTAGAAGACCTCCAAGGTCCCTTTTAACTCATTTATTTCTATTTTTCTGAATGATTTGCCTTCAGGAGCTGTGGGTGCTTCATCCCTGGAGGTTTTTAAGGAGAGACTGGACAGTCACTTGTCCGAAATGATGTAGGATTTCCAGACTCAACAGGTGGACAAAAACACCCAAATTCACTCTGTAACATCTGTCTGAACTCTGCGACGGACCGTAATTAAAAAAAAAAAACACACACAAACAGACTTATTTGCAGATTCTTTTCCACTTTATTTGAATTCAAGACACCCGCCCCTCAAAAAAAAAAAAAAAAAAAAGGTTTGGCCACCAGAGGTGAAGAACAGGAAAAACAAGGCTTTGGGGGGTGGTGTGTATCTGTCTCAGTGTGTGTGTGTGTGTGTGTGTGTGTGTGTGTGTGTGTGTGTCTGCAACCACCCCTGAATCGTGCCTCTTCCGCAACACTCCCTCTCCGATTTTTTCCTTCTTCTCCTCCTTCTTTGTTCCCAAATAAGAAAGCAAAGCCTTGATGGATCTGGAATGGGAAGAAGGAGATTGGGCTGCGATGTTCTGGGGAGGGCCAGCAATGCTAGGAAACATCTGGAAACCTTTTGTGGCTGTGGGGGAAAAAAAACGCGCTTGCATTCCTGGATCTAGAAGGTGGGGGGGGGGGAGAGACAGCTTGACGAAGGATTAGCAAATGATTAAGCAGCCAGAAATTCACCAGGGGCGGCTTCCATTCCCGGTCCTGTTGTGCCAGACTTCCTAATACAGTGTTGGTCAACCTCGGCGCCTTTAAGACGGGTGGACTTCAACTCCCAGGATTCCACAGCTGGCTGGGGAATTCTGGGAGTTGAAGTCCACCCGCCTTAAAGCCGCCGAGGTTGACCAACATTGCAGACCCCGAGAAGGCAATTCGCAATTCAAACATGCTGGGCTTGCAACCGAACAGAGCGGCTAGCTAGCCATTTTGGAAACCGCGCACCGGGTGCGCTGGAGGCGCCTGGTTTGGGAAGGCCGCCCCCTTCATGCTTGGGAGAATCCAACCGTGCCTGTCTAAAAACCGTGGCCACTTAACAGAGGAGCAGAGAGCGGGCGAAGCAAGGAAAGTTTGCCGAGACTTTTTTTTTTCCCCAGGCCAACATCCAGGATTAGCAGCCGGGGAGCAGTAAGGGACAAGCCAGGATCTATGATGATGATCAAACTCGAAACATGTTTTTTTTTTTTTTGCCTTCCGGGAAGGATGAAGGAGCCAGGATGAAGAGTCGGCGGGGAAGAAATGGAAACCCGAGCCGAGTCGGAGATGTGATTTTTGTGTCGATGGGTTCGGAGACCGGATGACGGGCGACGGGAAGGAGACGGGACATGCCACGGTGTGTCCGATGTCGGTTTATTTACAAGAGGCGCGGAAGGGACCGTCGGGGGTATTAACAAGCAGGAAAAACACTGCGAAAGGAACAGAAAAAGGGGAATGTCAACCTCCAGCCTCAAGTATCCAAATAAAAGCCCAGGATTATTTTCATTTCGGTTCCCAATTCTGTAATTTTAATATAGAAATGTACATTTGTATAGAGCAGGGGTAGGCAACCTTGGCTCTTTTATGACTTGTGGACTTCAACTCCCAGAATTCCCCAGCCAGCATGGGGGAACTACGGCCCCCTCATGACTCGTGGACTTCAACTCCCAGAATTCCTCAGCCAGCATGAGGGAAGTTTTGGCCCCTTCATGACTCGTAGACTTCAACTCCCAGAATTCCTCAGCCAGGATGGGGGAACTATGGCCCCTTCATGACTCACGGACTTCAACTCCCAGAATTCCTCAGCCAGCATGGGGGAACTAGGACCCCTTCATGACTTGTGGACTTCAACTCCCAGAATTCCTCAGCCAGGATGGGGGAACTATGGCCCCTTCATGACTCCTGGACTTCAACTCCCAGAAGTCCTCAGCCAGCATGAGGGAAGTTTTGGCCCCTTCATGACTTGTGGACTTCAACTCCCAGAATTCCTGAGCCAACATGGGGGAACTATGGCCCCTCATGACTCCTGGACTTCAACTCCCAGAATTCCTCAGCCAGAATGGGGGAACTATGGCCCCTTCATGACTCGTGGACTTCAACTCCCAGAATTCCTCAGCCAGCATGGGGGAACTATGGCCCCCTCATGACTCCTGGACTTCAACTCCCAGAATTCCTCAGCCAGCATGGGGGAACTATGGCCCTTTTATGACTTGGGGACTTCAACTCCCAGAAAGTCCTTGAAAACTTTCCAGACTGCAGCCTCTCAGCAAACTTCAGTAGAACTGGATAAATTTAGTTTCTCTCACTACAGGGCTTTTCAACCTTTTCACCCATTGTGCCACTTTTAGGATATGGCAACATCCAAGTACCACCAGTCGCCTAGCAAGGGGTCAAAAACTTGATGACAAAAAAAAAAAAGGAAAAATTGATAAAGTACAGGTAGTCCTCCACTTACAACAGTTCGCTTAGTGACTGTTCGAAGTTACAATGGCACTGAAAAAAGTGCCCCCCAAGCCACAGCCGAGCAAGACACCGGCCTGCCCGCTCGGATGCGCTCTTCCTCCTGTCCGAGGTTTTCACTGTTGTGAGCATTTCTGTTGAGGATTGGCAGAGGGGGTGGGGTGGGGGGTGTTTGGTTTTTATCCCCCCCCCGTTTGCTGGGTGGTTGCAGCAGGTTTGGGTCGCTTCACATGACCCTGGGACACTGTGACCGTCATAAATATGCATCAGTGGCCAAGCATCTGAATGTAAATCACAAGACCCTGGAGAGGCTGCAACATTCCAGCTGATCGGCGCTTCTTCTGGGCTCAGCAGAAGCACCAGGATCAGCCCTGAGCTCCAGCTGGATCCTGGCGCTGATCCTGGCGCTTCCGCTGAGCCCTGACAGCCCCGAAGCGCCGATCAGCTGGAAAGCGGCACTGATCCTGGCGCTTCTGCTGAGCCCTGACAGCCCTGCAGCTCCAGCCGTCTCTCGCTCAGGCTTGTGCGGTGCTGCCCCCGGTTCAGCTCATTCCCTTCCCTGGCTACCCCTTTTCTAGGATGGTTGCGTACCCCCTGCCAGGTGCCCATGGACCACAGGTGGAACCCCTACCACTGGTTGAAAAGCCCAAGGTAGCTGCTCCACCTTGATTTAGGGTTCCCGTACTGTGTGAAGACACCCACCGTGGATCGCAGACCGTCTTCGGCTCACCAGCACGACGGAACTCAAAAGGGTTCTGTTGCCGAGTGAGCTTTTGTGCGTAAGGCCGTTGTTGCGTAGGTGTTGCCCCCTTTGGCGACCGTCCTCGCTGTGCATGTTAAGTGAATCCCTGCAGTTGTGAATCTGGCTCCGCCAGTGACTTGACTTGTCAGACGGTCGCAAAAGGGGGCCCAGGACGCTGCGACCATCATAAACGTGAGTTGGTTGTCAAGCCTCTGAATGTAAATCACGTGACCGCGAGGGATACTGGAACAATCGTAAGTGTAACTTTCAACGGTTACTAGATGTAAGTTGAGGACTGTCCATACAGCTCTTCACACCAGCTCGTCCCTCCAAGCTCCCCTTATTTTGGGGGTGGCGATTTCCAGATTTCCCTCCCCCCCAAAACTAACAGCTCAACACATCTGGGGGCTCCCTACCGTGACCCCAACTGCCGGCCTTACCATTGAAATCCACCGACGGGCTCTGCAAACCTGTGACGGATCAAGAACGTCGCCACGGCTTCCGCCACCTGAAAGAGAGAGATGGGGGGGGGGGTGGCAGAGATAAAGGAGGCTCTGCCCCTTTCCTTGGGACAGACCCTCCCCACAGACAATGTGGGGCCTCTGCATTCTGCACTTTCCTTGATTTCACCCAAAGAGACCGTTCACACAGACCTAGTCCAACCTTTGCCAACTGAAACCACTGAGGGTGGTTTTCAGAGAACATTAAGAGCATAAGAGAGTTGGAAGGGATCCCAGAGGTCTTCTAGTCCAACCCCCTGCTCAGGCAGGAAGCCCTATGCCATTCCAGATAAATGGCTGTCTAGTCCAGTGGTTCTCAACCTTTTTAATGCCGCGACCCCCAACCGGTCGTAAGTGGAGGACTACTCCACCGGTCGTAAGTGGAGGACTATTCAACGGGTGCAGCCCCGTTGGCAGAATGGGACTTTTGGCGGGCTCAGCAGGGCAGAGACAGCCTG